CCTTTACACCGGGTGCGCGGCCCACAGTCAGCCAGATTCAGAGTCAATGGGTTCAGCATTCGACATGATGTTTATACATAATTAGCAATATCACATATATAGCAATAGATGATTAGATAATACAAGGATAATACACACACACACATATATATACATATATATATATATAAAGAGTTACACCCTCGCCTCTTTTTATAGTCAACTCCGCAGCAATTTGTTAAAAAGGAAAGAGACAATTCCCGTCTCTGTTAAGTCAAACATATCAAATACACGAGGAATAGTGCCTGGCCTAACGCTTTGGTCTCTTTCAGAGAAAAGAAAAAGGGGGGGGAAGGGGCTAAAGCCAAAACACTACAGACATAAAAAGATAGAGGGACACTCTTTAACCCCGAGGACGTGGGTTCAAAGAGTTACACCCTCGCCTCTTTTTATAGTCGACTCCGCAGTAATTTGTTAAAAAGGAAAGAGACAATTCCCGTCTCTGTTAAGTCAAACATATCAAATACACGAGGAATAGTGCCTGGCCTAACCCACAGCACTATTTGGCAATCTACTTGGCGAGAACGAGCCAAACCCACCTACTCACCAAGTCTAGATCACCAAGACAAACAAAAACGAACCGTACGGAGGAAAAAACGAGAAATAATACCGAAAGACCTTAATTGAGCGCTTTGCACCTTTTGGTGGTCCTTTTCTGGACCTTTGCTTTGGTCTCTTTCCACGGCCCCCTGTCCTTCCTGGTACAGGAGGCTCAAGTGAAACCAGAGTGAGACGAGTGCATTGTTGGTGCCAGATACGAAGAAAAGGAGAGAGAGAGGGACGGGAGGGGGGGAGAGAAAGTTCAGCAAGAATAGACAAGCCTTCGTTGATATAAATTCTGGCAGTTCTAGCTGCTTGCCAACGTCCTTGTAAAAGGATCTTATCCAGGGAGTGGTGGCGAGCAAACCACCATGTTGCTCCTCCCCGTCGCAAGCTGTATGGACGAAAACCAAAATCCATAAGCTCCAAGGCCTGCAAGGCTTCATTGAACTTTGCTCTCCAAGAGGCAGGATTCTTTGCCAAAGGTGTAGAATCCTTTGTCAGAGTCTTCCAATGCTGTACGATGCGAACCACCACATCATAGCCAATTACAGCAGACTCAGCTGCCCCCTGGCGTTTACCCCCTTTAGTGAGACCTAAAGACATGACAATAGTGGATTGTCCCGGTTCACACAAAATTTGAGATGCACGGAGGTCATGTATTTCTCCAGTTCGGAGCATACCATAGAAACCCAGAAGAAGGGAAACCCCAAATGTGAAGTGCTGGTGGAAGAACGCCCATCCCACCATTGCATGTAGGACGTGTGCAGGAAGCGGAGGTGCGCGGTTGGGTATTTCCTGCTGCCCCCACGTCTTAAGGAGCCGCCAGGCTCCCAAGAGATGCCCCTTCAGGCGGATGTCAGAATCCTGTAACCCCGCTATAGTGTCACTGGCGAGGGCACGACCGTACCCTTCTGCCCAAAGGTGCTCCAGGTATTCACAAACCAGCGGGTCAAGGAGGTTTCGTTGTTTGGGTAATTGCAAGTCATTGTTGCGTAAAAAGGCGAGGAAGGCGTCAATTGCTCTCGTATATCGTACTTTTGTAGCTGGCTGGACGGTCAAGTCTTGAAGTGTCCCAAGTCGTTGTCGTGTCTCTTTGCGTGCGGCCTGCGTAGCTCCTTCGAGGTGCCTCTTAGGCATTCCTAAATTTGGTTCGTATTCGGGTACCCCACCGGCTGGGCCGGTCCGCGGGGTTCAAATCCGTCCGAACATAGCCCCACAGGGCCTGATTAGGGCTACATAGCAGCAACGCATTGATTCGTGACAACGTGGAACGCAACTTTCGACTTGATGACCGTCCCCTGGCCAGGGAATGCAACACCACAAGCGAGTCCACTAGACGCAGGAAACGTGAACCAACCATACGCTTGTGGCACACCCTCCACTTCAAGGTGGTGAGAACGGCCCTCATTTCCAGAACGTTGATGTGTTCCTGAGCTCCCCTCCATTTCCACCCTGAAACAATTCGCCACTTCCAGAGGCGAGGTGGAATTGAGGAGCGTAAACGGTGGAACTTCACCAACTGGCTAGAGGGGGTAGAGAGCATGATGTCTTCGCCTTTGACACTGATTAAATTGCCGAGTTGGGCGACCAATGTCCTATTTTCCCGAGGTGCGTCACCTCGCAGAGGCCGCAGCGGCGCCCGCCACAGCCGGGTCTGCAAGAAAACTTGTTGCTCTGGATCCAAAAAAATCACAATGTCCTGAGGTGTGTATCTGGGACAAAGACCCAGTGGGCCACACAATTGACCAAGGAAGGAACCAGCTGACCACTGGTACACTCCATGTATTGCCAATGAGGCTGTGACGTAGGTCCAAATGCTCTGTGGTGCCACGAAGCCTCTTTGGTACGCAAGGAAGGGTATAGTTAATGGGAAATCCCATGATGTACTCCTTTTCCTCGATGTCTGGAAGACGCAATCTGTCGCGTTTGTTGATGAGCAGGTTTTTGGTTGTATACTGATAGGGTGGATATCGGAAGTTATCCATCTCCCATCTGCGCACCTCATCCGGAGTGCACGTCTTGAGTCCTGCTGGCTTGTACCCTGGATGGTCCCTAGGTCTAGACGTAGTGAATGTCGGAAAGGAACGTTCGGGCGTTGCCTTAATCCAACCTTCCTTGCAGACCTGCTCCAAATCCTGACGCGCATGCAGCGTCACCCGGCCAGAAGCGCCCGTGCTCCCCGGTTCCAGGCAGACACCGTCTTGCTCGGCCAGTTCCCAGCTGATCCAGTACAGACGAGGTCGGTGGCACCAAGTCAGGGTTCCAGCGTCACAGATCCATGGCTGATCCCCAAATTCTTGGCTCATCACCGCACGATCCTCCTCGTCCATGGAAGCAACGCTTTCCATGATACAGTGTACTTGGCACCATGGAAATTGCCGCTGGACCAGCTTCCAGATCCTTTTGACATGGGGATACAGATTGGAGCGCTCGTCCTTAAGGGCTCCCTTGCGGCTGGCGTTCAGGCCGCTAACCCCCTGACACGGCGGTCCCCCTCCAATAATCACGAGCGAGGCCTGCGAAAAATCGCGGGCCCATTGCGCCACCATGTTGTCGTCGACCTCCTTGACGTCCGAGACTGCTATGCTCTCAGGGAAGTGCGAGGATACCACTCGCTTTGCTCCCTCGGCCTGCTCAACACTGATGTGTCCCAGGACCTGCAATCCCAGGAGGTCACAGCAGATACGCAGAGCCGCTATGCCATCAAAAAGTCCAATGCTTAGAACCTGATGTTCCCCTCGAAGCTCCGGCATTCACCGCGTAGACGACCACCCGCCGCCAAGTGTCCAGCGCGGCTGAGGCCTTTGGATGCACAGATGCCACCCCCTTGGTTTGAGGCATCGCTGCAAGTGACCTGCTCATTGTAGCAAGTCCTGAAATCAAGGCGAGCCAGCGGCAGAAGCCCCAAGAAACGCACCAGTTCCAGCTGGCACTCTCGCGGCAGTACCTTACGCTGGCTTTTGCAGGCGTCAAAAGACGTGATGAACCCCCATACCGCATTAAGACCGCCAAGCAGCTGCCTGCGAAACATAGCCACATACACAAGTCCCCCACAAACTACTTGCATTTGGCGCTGTGTCACCGAAGGCAACGTAAGCAGTGACAGAGTGGCCGCGAGATACTTGAGGAGCTTG